GGGCATGGAGAAGGGCAGGTAAAATAGCTGCTGCTGAGGATTCTGAGGGGCAGCATGGGTCCTTCCCACAGCACAATGTGCCACAGAAAGAGCCGGAATCCACCTGTTGCTAGTTCATAGTTCTGCCTCCCAGCATTCCCCCTTCCCTGAGCCCTGAGGTAGAAACAGGAGGGTGTAACACCTGCAGTCGGCATCACTTCTACCTCAGCCACCGTTTGATCCCACACAAAGGAGACTTGGGAGTGGTACAGGCATTGCCCTGAACAGATGTAAGGAATTTTCCACTTGGTACATACATAATAGAACTTTATACTACATAATTCCCTTTCTTCTCTTTGAGCCTGTGTGTGTGTGTGGGCAGTTCATTCACAGCCTGTTCCCTCTGCTCCAAGGCAAAAGTAAAAATCCTGTCGTTAAAAAAATCTGAGGAAAACAAAAAAGCATAGAAAGGCAAGCCTTGTGAAGTTAAGACCAGACTTATTGTGCCCCTGGCACAGCGCAGACTGTCTTCCTCCAGTTGGAGAGAAGTGTAAAAGCCGCTGTTCTTCATCTTGAGGCAAAGACTTCAGGTTATGTGAAACATTAAAATCATTTTAAAAAATTTAAACTCTTAGGTACTTTCAGATTTTGTGGTGGCAGGAGAGTTAGTAGACGAGAGTAACAGGCAAGGAAACTGTAAAAGTCATTGTCGCTGGTGAGCAAAGGAGTGCTCAGCTCTTTCCTCTCCTTAGGAGACGCTCTGCTCCCAGGAAATTGCCTCCACTAAGTTGGAAATACAAAGAGCATGAGACCGTCAAACACACGAAACACTTTAATTTTTTTTTTTGGGGGGGGGAGCCGGGGGGCAGCGGGAGGCAGTCAACAACAAGATCCCTCCCAAACTAGCCACTGGTGACCAAGTTTTCTTGGCACATACCATAAGCCCTGGTGCCCCCTCTGAGATGTTAACAAAAGCCAGTAAGAATTAGAGAACATTCCAAGTTCATCCTATTTTCAAAATTTAGCAGCATGTTGCTGGCTATCATACAAATTTTTGGTGCCCCTCCCCAATTTTAGTGAGTAATGTTTTCTTTACACATGATTTAGATAGAAGTTAATGTTTTTTTAAGACACTTGTACATATATGCATATACATATATACACACATACATGTATAGCTCCTCATAGCACATGAAGACCTGCACCTGTATGTTTTTTTATCTTCACATACTTCCATTAGCAACAGTGAACGTGAATGATTTTATAGTGGGAAACAAAACTAATGAAAATCAAATCAGAAAATGTGAAGTGGTATGCTGTAAGAGTCTAATGAAATGAGTCAATGCACATTTATGTAGTGGTAAAGTGCTAGAAAGTTCTTTCATTAGTATTTAAAAATGATTATAGTAAAAAAAAAAAAAAGTCCGCTGTTTCATTTGATGGTGGTGACCACAGGCGGCACCGCGACAGCGCGGGCTGAGCTGGCGTCGATGATGTCCTCATACTCGGGCGGGGGGTCCAAGTGAGGCTCTGTGTCATTCCGGCGCAGGCTCACCTGTCCGGTGGCTTCCTCGTAGGTGGGTGGGGGGTCACAGTTAGACAGGCGAGTGGAGACAGAATCTGAGCGTCCAACGACATATTCCAGAAAGCCCGGTGACAGTCCGCTGCTATCAAATACTTCATCTGGTGGGGGCGGCTGAGTGATGATGTTTAGGTGCTGAGGGAAGGGAATATGGCCTTCAGTCACAGTCTGCCTGCGAGTTTTGTTTCTCAGGAAGCATCTCCAGATGAGGAAAATGACAAGGAGGATAATGAAGAGGCCAAAGATCAGTGGAAATGTAAGGTAGAACTGAAACCAGTCACTGCCTCTGCTACTGTCTCCTTGCTGCGCTTTCGTGTAGGTGTTCCAGAACTCTTTCTGAGAAGATAAAACCAGTTGAAAGTTAGTCTGAGCAACATCAAAGTAATTACAGGATACTCTGAATCCACTCTAAAAGGTCTGTCAGAATCCAGGAGTCTTTCTGTCACATTTGGGGGGTTGTGGTGGAGGATCAACATGTCCCCTTTCCAAATTGCATGAAATCCTCTTCCCTTAGAACCTCTATTATCACTTTCCATGTCCAAATAGCATCCGCTGTTTTAGGAGGTGGTAGGTTTTCAGTACTCAGACACTTGACAGATGAACACCTCATTTTCTAAGGGTTTGCGTTGGGGGCCCCCTACATCAGACATTCCTCCACACCTCACTTTCCAATCCCAAGGTTAGTGTGCGGATGGTGACTAAATACTGTCTGTACACACTGCTTCTAGCAGGAAGGTCTGGCTAGTGAAAAGATTTGCCAAGTTACACTCTAGTCCCAGAAGACAAGTGGTGTGGTATTTTATTCTTTAATGTCTGGGGGGGAGAAGTATTAAAAACACAAAAAGGGAGCCTGAGCCCATCACTACTAGGGGAGACCTGGGCATGTTGCTCTTGTACACCTTAGTTCAACTACCCAGCCAGCGGCTATCTGGGTACTACATGAAATCATGTACTTAACGCCCCTAATGAGGGTCCTGCAACATAAATTCATTGTGATTATGTTTTGTAGCTCTCTGCTTCAAATTGGTTGATGAATCTGTCTGATACTTTCATACAAAGACTGCCCAACTGTAATGTTGCTGACTCCGTTTTCATTGCCTAAGCTTAACCACTAACTGCTTCTCCATTTACTGGCAGGTAGCAAAAGTGCACTGGGAAGGGAGTTGTCATGATCCAGGTGGGCAAGTAGATGGTTGGACTAACTAGGCTGGGGGCTGTTACCCTCAGATGTGCCAAGGGAGCAAGGCGTTTACGTAATATCTGACTCGGCCTCTGTGCCAGCAGCATTAGTGTGCAAAGCGGGGTAAAGGTACACTGTGGGCCTAACAATGACCCAACATCGTGAATGCTCTGCTACTGCTACGTCACGTTACTTCAGTGTTCCGTGCCTCTAAGATGAATTTGAGTGTGTTAGAAGAAATACTGTGGAATTTATGACAGGTGGTAGGTATACAGGTGAAAATATGCAAGGTTCACTTCAATATCAAAACCAGGAAAAGCATATCCCAACGTACATTATTATTACGGCATTATTTTTAGGCCAGTATCCAAAACTTGAAATTTGTTTTGCCCATAGTTACCACTCACAGGTAAAAACTCATGAAGCTTATTTTGAAAATACTACATATGCTTTTAAATGTATAACTTTTTTGCACGATCTTCACTTTTAGAATTGCAAGCATTAAATACTTTTGGCTGTAGAGTATAATTTTCATATAAAGAAACACCTAAAATAAAAATACACAATCAGAGCACAAAGATATCACTTTAGATTTACTTGCTTGGCAACTTTGAATTCTGCCCTGCATGATGGAGGACTGCTGAAGTTCTAGACCCACTTGACCTATTTTTTAAAGATTTATTTATTTGTGCATACAGAACTGGGGTACAGGCAGATCGACGAAGTACACTGCTGAGGGGAGCAGCGGGCGGGTCAGGAGAGGTCTGCCACGCCATGTGGTCACCTCCGGGGCAGGCGGGAATCGAACTCATGCGGAAGTGGCTTTAACCTGCTGCGCCATCATGGAGGGCCCACTTGACCTATTTTTACCCACCCTCCAAACCCCTCCTCCCTCCAATAACTAGTCTATTTTTAGTTACCAATGAGTTTGTTGTTTTAGTTTGTTTTTAAGATTCTACACATAAGGAAAAAAGTAGACATTATTTCTCTTTCTGTGTGTGACTTATTTCACTTAGCATAATTCCCTTAAGGCCCACTCATGTTGCAAATGGCAAAATTTGATTCTTTTGTTATGGCTGAGTATTTCATTATATACACACAGTCTACTGAAAACAGGGTTAATTCTTTAATAATTTGCTGGTAGTGTATATAGAAACAGCCAGTTTCTATGTTGATTTTGTACTATGCAATTGTACTGAATTATTTTATTAGTGCTAACCAATCTTTTGGGAGCATCACTGGGCTTTTCTACAAATGTCATTAGTAAATAGTGACACTGTTACATTTTCCTTTGACTTGAACACCTTTTATTTGCTCTTGTCTACCTGTTATGTCTAAGTCTTTCAAAACTAGTAGACACCTTGTTCTGTTCCTGAACGTAGAGAAAAATCTTTGTTATTCCCTGTTGAATATGATATGTTGCGGTCCATTCTCTCTACACACTCAGAGCTTTTATCATAATTGCATATTGAATTTTTGCAAAAGCTTTTTCTGCATCCATTGAGATGATTATGATTGTGTTATTTTGTTAGTATGATGTATCACATTTGAGTCAGATGCTGAATCATCCTTGCATCCCTGGAATAAATCTCACCTCATGGTGCATGACCTTTTAATGTAGCCTTGAATTCAGCTTGCTAGTAACATTTACAGGGTTTTAGTTATTATGTTCAAGCAGAACATTGCCCCGTTTTTCTTGTGCCATCCTGGCGTGGTTTCAGGATCAAGGGAATGCTAGGCTCCTAAAGGAGTTCAAAAGTGTTGTCTTCCATTTAGTGGAATGCTTTGATAAGGGTTGGCATGAACTAGTAGAGGCCTTTGGTGTTGGGAATTTTGTTGGGAGGCTTCTGACTCCATTGTGTTGTATATAACTAGTCTGTTCAATGTTGGAAGAATGTATACTTAAAAAAAAAATATTTGTGCAAACCGAACTGGGTTATAGACCAGAGGTACAGGAGTGGTGAGAGGATTCACCAGAGACAGCGTAGGAAGGACACAAGGTCTGCTGGGCCATGTGGATCATCTCTGGGGCCGGGGCTCAAACTCACACTGAAGTGGCTGCGACTAGCCTGCAGTGCTGTACCCCAACCACTGTGCCAGCAGGGAGGGCCAAGAGTGTATGCTTCTAAGCTGATAGATTAACAACTATGCACCAACAACTTGGGTAGTCTTATGATTTGTGTCTCACCGAAACAGCTGGTACTTTCATTTATCATAGTATCTTTGTGAATGAGTGCATTTTATTCTTTGGTTACTTAGAAGTAAAAATGCTGGATCACATGGTAACTTTTCCAGAGTCTGTATGAATTTACATGTATAATGACTCCTTTTCCCCTCTACCAACAACTTCTTTCTTTTTTGACATGGGCCCTTCTCACAGGTATAGGGATTTAATTTGCATTTCTGTAATAAGTGAGGTCTAGCATTTCTTTTGTTGCGCTGTACGAGTTTATCTTGGATTTTAACTCCTTAGAGTATGGGGTGTATGATATACAGATATTTTGCCCAAGCCAGTAGGATGAATAGGAAGCTTAGGCAAAAAGAAGTACAAACCAGATTTTTATACCTAATTATGTAGGCTAATAATAAACCCAAGGTCATTTAACATGTAAATGTTGGAGCTGTGATTTGAACACAAGAGGCAGGCATCAGAACAAACCAAGCTGCCAGACTGTAAACTGGCTTGGCTGCTTTCCAAGGAAATTTAATCTTCCAATCATGTTAAATTGCAGCTGGCTCATTTTGTCGATTAAATATTTTGGATTGAGATAACACTGATCTGAGTAAAATGATACTGACATGTTTCTTAGCAAGCTAGACTTATCCTTCAAAGCAGAGAATTAGATAAAGTCACCTGAAATCATGACTAATGTATTGTTCATATAGATAAGCCCACTTTATGACCATCTTTTTTTAAAAAAAGATTTATTTATGCACACAGAACTGGGTACAGGCCAGAGGCACAGGGGTGGTGAGAGAATTCACCAGAGTCAGAGAGGGGAGCAGGACGCGAGACAGGAGAGGTCGGGTGTGTCACCTCTGGGGCTGGGGAGTGAACTCGCATGAGGTGCGTTGGCCAGCTCTGCCGGCACGCCAACCTGTTGCACCACCAGGGAGGGCCCTATGTCTATACCTTATTGAAACGAGTCAAAAGATACCCAAAAAGAGCAAGAGTCCCAAACTGGAAGGCAGTAAGAACTTGTTTGATGAAGAAAATGACTAAAGGGTCTCAGTACTGGTGGAGCTTCAGAGTGTTGATCTATTTCAGAGGGAAGAACACTGAGAGGTAAATGTTTTATCCCAGTAGCTGAGTTTTTGAGTTGTGCATGTACTGGATTCTGTTTTATTGAGGGATTTTGTTGCTCTTTTTAAAAGGTGTGCTTTTCCATTTTGCACTTTACTACCACTTTTGAACTAGAATTCAAATGATTCAAGGCCTGACAGCCTCTATTCATAACCCAGTAACAAAGTGGAGCCCAGCTGTTTCACAATGTGATGGAGGAGCTCAGAGCCGACACTATACACTGGGAGGCAGGGGAGGGTCTAGAAGCACCGAGTCAGTCCTCATAATGGCCCTTTCCTTGGACAAGAATGACAGGCCGGGGGAGAAAAACAGACAAGGGACAGAAATCACAATCCTGTCTCCAAACGCCTTGCCGAGAATGTGTTGGGCCATTCGGCAAGAGTGCCATCCTAGAGCAAGTAACTGGGCCTACACCAACGCTAGTTTGCCATCTTTTGTCAATAAGGCAGAAATATGTAGATATGGCTGCTAAGGTGCCTTCTTGAAAATCACCAAGGCATCGACACTTGCTGACAAACAATATTTATACTGAGTTTGGGGTCAACTCAACAATATTCATTTTCCTACTGGTAGATGATGATAGTTGGGGGTATGTGTGAATGGGAATACATTTCTGTTCTTGCTGAAATGTTATTTTGCATGATGGTTTTCATAAAAGTAAAGCCTCCTGCCTTTTGACATAATACACAGTCTGGATTCAAGATTCGGATTCTGGATAGAGGAATTGGGAGCTGTCTTGATGTAAGAGCTAATACGAGAGATCTCAATTGCCAAATTCTTTCAGAGTTCAAGAAGACAACAGGGAAGTACCTGAAATCACCTTGCTAAAGGACAAAAACTCTCAAAACTGCT